TGGGGTGGGGGCTCGGGGCAGGAGTCTCCGCCTCCCTAAGTCTAGTTCCAGCTCCCCTTTGCCCTGGAAGCCTTCCTTCCTGGGTGTTTCCTTCCTCTGAATTCCTCCTCCCTCATAACCCCTCCTTTCCAGCCCTGCCTGCTTCCTCACCCCCTGTAGATGCCCCCTCCCCAGTCCATACTATTCAGACCCTTAAACTAACAGATAACTTGTCCCAGGCTGGCCAGTTCCATCTGCCCAGCCAGGCCTGCCTGGCTCTCAAACACCGCCACAAACCTCAGCTGGTTCTCCCAACCTGTGTGACCCACCCCAGGACATTCCCAGCACTGGTGCTTCTGCATGTCTGCCTGACTCCTGCACTGTCCAGGACAGATGACCCTCAGCCAACAGCCCAATGTTCCTTAGGGACAGGAGCTGCCCATGACCTCTGAGGAGTGTTGAAGATGTGGAGAGGAAGGCTAGAGGTTCCATAGCTAGTGAAGATGATCCTGAGATGAAACCTCCAAGATTAGGAGGAGAATCCCATTGGCCAAGGAAAGCCGCAAGGCCGAAGAAGGCCTGAAGCCCTGCCCTTAGCGCCTCCTCCCTCCCCTCTGCCCGAAGACCAAAACTTGGCGTCTGGAAACCCAGGCCAAAAGCCCAGGCTGGCAACGAGCAGCTGGGGGTGGGCCGGCCCCACCCCATCTTCCCATCCCCCCTTCTCGAGACAAATAGGCTGGAGAGACGTCAGCCGGCCTTCCTTCCCAGGTGTTTCCGGAACCCAGGGGCGGAGCTCCACCTGGGCCAAGCACCACCCCCAATCGAAGCCCAGATAGCAGTTCCCAGCAGAGACCGGGTCCCACCAGGTAAGAGCAACGGCCCCTTTCTGGACCACCAACCACAGCCGCACCCACCTACACAGCACAGCTGCCGGTAGAGATAGCACCTGCGGGCTTGCTCGCAGCCCCCGTCCAGCCAGCACGGCCATTCCAGCACGACCTCCCTCTGCGAGGTGAAGGCGCCCTCTGCCCCCCACATTCCTGCCACAGCCAGAGCCCTGGGATGGCCTACAGATGGCAGGGCCAGCCTGACTGTAGCTGCGCCTCTGCTTCCAGCCAGTGCTGCAAAGCTGCCGGCTCGACTCTCCACATCCTCCCCTGCCCGCCCACAGCGGGAGCGAAGCCCAGACCCGAAGAACCTGCCCCTGGCCCCGCCCAGCTCAGGCCAGGAAGCCGCGCCCCAACCCACAGGGAAAGGACCCCCGCTCAGCCCAGGGGACCAGGGTGGGAGGCTGCCCTGGGGACAAAGCAGCCTGGGGATTCTCTAGAGGCCCAGGCTCTCTGGGCGAGGAGCCCAAGAGGACGCCCACAACATAGGGAAACATTTCTGAGACTAATGTCTGCAGGAGGGCCACTCCCAGCAGGATGTGCGGTAGGGGCTGCAGGGCCTCTGGGAGGAAGCAGTGGGCGGGGGGGGACACACAGTGCACAGGCGGTGGGCAGACAACAGCCAAGAACAGAACTGAGGCATCAAAGCTGCATCTGGCACCACCAAGTAGTAGGGGCTGCAAGTGAGCCCAGAGAGTGGCCGAAGGACAACAGTGGGCTGATGGAGGGAGAGGCAGTGTCTGTTTCCCAGCGAAAATACTCCAGGGAGAAGAAGCCCTCAGCCTATAAACTTTATTGAATTTCCCGTCCTTGCAGCTGAGTCACCAGCAGCTCCTGGGAGCCCCCAGAGCCAC